CTTACACCACGATGGCAACACAGCGGGTACTTGCCATTCAGGTAGCCATTTTAAATAAATCGAAGTATAGTGTCAACAAACCTTCCCCATCGTCGAGAATTCGCACCCTACAGCATTCCCGACCAGAGGCACTGCAGTATGGTGTTAGCAGATCGCACAACTTTCTGCAAACATGTGCAGGCGTACTGTCTCCCATTCGTCAAAAACTTGTTTTTACTGTACTTTAAATAATCTCAATCCAAATATACAATTGATATACGATATCGTATTTGAATTCCACTTTTTAATGTTCTATCCACAGCCTCCAAATTTTTCAAAAAAATTGCCATTTTAGAACGAGTTTTTACATGTTCTTTAATATTCTTAAATACTTCTAAAAACACTTCCTATTCATACTTAAAAATTATTCCGGTTTACTCATTAGAGAGCCGAAAAAATTAACGGAAAATTCACAACAATATGTTCTATGGGGGGCCGGTAGATGGGCAAGGCTGGCAAGAAGTTATGTTGGCAAGTGAGAAATAGCTTAGCCGAGACGAATGGAAATAGAAAATTAATATCGGAAACGTCTGTGCCATTCTGTAGCACCCACTAGTTTCAATTGTTCTGTTTCGCGTTGGTCTCGAAAAATAATTTTTAATGCGGAATAGAAATGTATCTTTTTTTTTTCCATTTCATCGAACCTTGGTTATGATAATAGAGCCTGCATTGACCTCTTTCTCTCCGCCTAGACGACTGCATCTGGTTTTCAGAAAGTGTTGATGTACCAGATTGATAAAATGGTGTGAGTGACTTTCCACAGCCTTAAAGTAAAGGCAATATCATCATAAAAACATAGAGGTGGTTGTGAGTTTCTCTTGGCTGCAACCAGGCACAATAATGCTGCGGTATGAAAGAAGTAGTTCAATCGGTGAACTCCACTTTGGATTGTCGGATGAAAACAAACACGTTTTACCACCAAAAACTATTCAAGCTTTGAAATTTTAAAAATCACTTTGGAATAAACTTACCTGCCAAGGGGTATTACGTAACGCTGAAGAGGCGGGAGGAATTGAGGCGCGTTGACACTGCGTTAAACATATCGGACGGGGGATATTCGATTAGTGTTACGTAACATTGATATTTTTTCTACCATTTTTTTAAAGCATTTGTTGAAATACTTCTTTTTTGAGTCTTATACTCAAAACATTAAAAATTAATCAAATTAATTTGTTTTAAAACATGAATACATTTAAAGTTATAGAATCTGTTACAATTGATAGGAATATTTTTTCATCATTTTGAATTGAATTCAGAAAGATTACGGAAAGAAAAGTATTCAAAATTGATCTGTACGATATTTTGTAAAATAGAATTAAATTGGCGCAGAGACTCCTCTCGCCCATGCCCATCCACAAGCGGTGGCCATGTGCACGACTTCTGGGTCAGAGATTTTATCTTCTGTGAGTCTTCCTTCCACTAAAAATTTGGCCTTAATCGTATTGTTTTCTTTATCTGTTTCTGCAGTCAGTATTGAGAACTAATTCCGACTTTAATCATAAATTTTATGTACCAAATAAAATGAAAACATTTTTTTTACAGAGCGCTATAATTAATGTCACTTCTTGCATGTACAAGGAGTGTTATGTAATAATGTTAAGGGGGTTCAATCGTGAAGTTACTCTGTATGCGTTAAAGGGAAAAAGTGGAAAGGGGGTTATTCAAAATAAGCTGCAAATTTGCGTAACGTATATTTTTATGGACGCGTCACCTAAGGAGTTTGACAACCTGCTATTAAAGTACATTTCAAAATTCTTGCGAGATATCAAATCTTCTGTATATAACAAAGTTCATAGTTCCTGCATGTTCTGATTCAGAAGTAGGGCCCGGGGGGCGAGGCAGTGCATGATACAAGTCTCATGTTCAGCAGATTGTTCATAAGTTGGTTATTAAAATATCGTATTTTATATGTAAAAAAGTACTTTGTATTTCTTTCAGTGAGACAGTGCAGTCACTTAATGAAGCAGCATTTCTTCTTTTAGCTCATGCCCTGTTTTTATTTTTCCATTCTTTTCTTCCATAATTTCAGAAATTTTCCTGTTTAAATCATAAAACAAATCAAAATAAAGGTCATCCTAAACTAGTGCGAGAAAGTTTGTGCATTCTGTAAACCATACTGCAGTGCCTCTGGGCCGGGAAGCCGTAGTGTTCGAATCTCGACCGATGGCGGAATTTTTAACGACTATATCTTCGATTTATTAAAATGGCACTGAAGGTTTTCAACATAGATTACTCATATTGAAAAATAATAGGAAAATCACAGATACGAAAAAAGAAAAAGAAAATCAGCATTCTAGGGCATTTGTTTGCAGAGATAACAACGAAAAAACGTGTTTTTTCACGTTTTATGTTTTCTCAGCTTCTAGCGGCATGTATCAGGCATAAAGCAATTTTGTAACCAATGTTTGGTGCCAAATTCATTAGAAAAAATTTGTAATTGATTCTTCGACATGATAACCGTGTGCGCGTACTTCTTCAGTCCCCCCTTAGAATGTGTATCATAACATTCTATAACATATATTTTTGGAAGATTTTTAAAGAACGTGGACGATATTGTGAAATAGTTAAAACCGATTTTATCAGTCCTAAAAGGTTTTGAAATGACCGTTCCGCAAAATGTAATTGCGAAAAATCTACGTGTTTAGAGGAAGTAATTTACTACTTTTAGGAACAAGAGATTCATTACTTTTTCGGTTTATTTCGGTTTCCCGACGGAGGAGTTATTTCTGTCGTCGAATTTCGGGATATTTTGCGCGCTTTCACAATTACTTTCTTATACTACGTAAAGTTATGTGCGAAAAAGTAAAAAAATTTAGATCAGTTATTCGAACAATCAACTTGTCATTCCATTCTCAGTCATCACCTGCATTTTGACAGGTCTCGTGACCTTACTGCAGAAATCGTTGAGTCCATCCACATGCGCAGAGCTCAACGCTTAATTCCACTTGCTTCCTGGACGAGGCCATAACGGCCCCCGCCGCCGCCGCCGCCTCGCCCACCGCGTCGCTCGCCCCCGGCGCCGCCCGCCGCCGCGTGGTTGCTGGTGACGCTACTGTCGCTGCTCGTACTGCTACTCTGGACACCTGTGAGTGATGACAACGATGCGAATAAATTATCATAGATGTAGAAATAGATATGAGGCGTTGTTTTGTCGTATGTGTTTATTTTTCCATGAAGTTTTTTTCGGTCACAATATGTCCACCTTCACTGCAACAAGAAATAACGACATATCCAAATTGCAATTAAAATTTTGTCTATTACACAATATTATTTATGATTTTTTTAAATTCATAAATAATAATCTGTAATATACAAAATTTTAATTGTAATTTAGATGTGTTGTTATTTTTGAAGCGCCGAAGATGGCTGCAATACGACCGAAAAAGCTTTATGGAAAAATAAACACTAACGACAAAACAACGCCTCATATTTATTTCTATAATGATGCCAATGTAACCTCCTCGTTATTTCCTACTAAATTATCGTAGACATGAGGGGTTCTGAGTTAACCGACAATTCGCGAAACGCTTAGGAGAGTATTAGGAGTGAATTTTTCTGAGAAAATTAAGAACCTATTGTGGTATTCATAAACGAACACGAATAAAATTCTTTCTCCTCTATTTTCACCTCTTTTACTTCTTCGGTTTCAACTCTTCTTCTTCCGCTGTCCTTCCCCGTCTTCGCCGTCGGAGTAATTCAGCAACGAGACTAATAAAAAAAAGCGATAATTTTTCAGGAGGTTGACAGCAGCTCTTATGCGTGTCACTCGCCTTTCAATAAGCTAGAACCGATCGCGCTTGAACGACTCCTCTCCCGTCAAGACGTCTCAGCAAGCAGCGAGTCACAATGGTGACCCGTAGAGCGCTGAAAGCAGAACATGCCAAATAGGCTTCCCATATGAACAGCACTAATTTAAAGTGCCCCACTCCCCCCCCCCAAAAATCGATTCGTTTAAAATTCGAGAGGAAAATCAATTTTGGTGAAAATCATACTTGTCATTTAGGCGCTAATGCTGCTCACAGAGACAGATGGACAATCAGAGACACAGGTAGAAGGGTAGTCAGAAACCAGCTGGTAAGTGTGGCACAGACAAGCAGTCAGGGACAGACAGAAACACAGACAGGGACAGGGACGTAGACAGTGGGCTGGTAGAGAGGGACGCACAGACGTACTTGGACTGTCAGGTAGACGGACAAACGGAAAGACGTTTTGAAAAAATATAGATACTTTTTTCACGCACGAGCTCCCCCCAACATTTATTTTTCATCCAAATCTTGAAGTCCATTTTTTCAGCATTACATGTCTTTCTCTATACTAAGTATACTATAAAGTTAAAATATGTACCTGTGTTAATAAGGTAATTTGAGAAAAGAGTCAGTAATAATCTTTCGCTGAAAACTTCGAAATCAGTAAAGTATTTAGGTGCCGTCCATAAATTACGTAAAGCAAATTTTGGAGTATTTTTGAATACCTCCTCTTTCCCCTGTAACACGCAATAGAACTTCCCCCATAGTAATTACGTAACGCATGCGACAAAATCCCCACCCTCTATGTAAATGCAAAAAGTGAAAATAATTATAATTCAGTAAAAAAAAGTATTAATTTCATTCATTCACTTCTTCAACAACTTCTAATAACAAAATAATTTTGTTTTAAAACAAATTAATTAGATAATATTTTCATATTTTTGTGTGAAAAAGGAAGTATTTCAACAAATGTTAAAAAAAATGTACAAAAGTTCAATGTTACATAACACTAATGGGCTATTCCCCTACCTCTGTTAACGCAGCGCACCGCTGCTTCAAACCCCCTTCCCCTCTTCAGCATTATATAATTTATGGCCGGCTTCTTTAAACGTTAAGCAAAGTTTGCACCCTTCAAAATGTGAGCTTGATAGGTTTTGGCATACAGTAGCATTACGTATCATTTTGAAGATTGTTTTAAATAATTTTTCCATTATTACTAGGGCCCAGAAAGTCATGTATTTTCATGTATTCTCCAAGACCTTGTAACTGTATGATTTTATATAATATCTATCGAATTATTGATTGTTGATTCAATTTAATATAGTTTTATGTAGTGTGTAATTGCATTTTCTTGCCATTATTACAAATGCATCATATTTCCACCGAACAAATCTCTAAAGGGCATTGTTTTGAAATTTTTCAATATCCTTTTCCTTTTCAACTTTTCCCTTCGCTGAATTTAAAAAGTGACATAATTCACATAAGTACAAACATCCGGGACATGATACGATTCCATATTCCAAGGTTGGCATTACTGTTAAGGGAGCTCGAACTCCTCGTGGCCAATGCCTGTTTCGGCGGGTCTTCCGAAGCCTGATGGCTGGATGTAGGTCCTCTGTAGGATGTACATAACTCTCAGTTGCGTAGACGCGGAGGGTCACGGTTTCTCTAGCTTTTGGGCCCGATTGTGACGCGCGGAATACGGTGTCTCGTGCTTGTGACGGGCAGACGTGCGATTCACTTCGTGTGGATTAATATTTTATGTAGTGTTACCTACGCCGGAAACAAAAACACGATATTCATGTTCTAGATTAAATGGTTTACAAAGTGACTTGCTTTCAATGGATGGTCGAGGTTTTGTTTTGTAAATCATGTGAAAAGAATGATAGCGAACAAAAGTTTCAAGTAGTTTAGCTTGTAAACTCTACCAAACATAAGGGCATTTAATTGAAAAAAAGTGTACATGAAAAGGTTATTCAGAAATAACATGTAGAATATTTAGAGAGTATAATAAATTAGTTTTCTTTGGACTTGCGCGAAGCGTTTATAGCAGCTGATATTCTCCTATGGAAAGTCAGTAACACAGTTCTAAAAACATCTCTCAGTAAATATACTCAGCAACATGTACTTGATGAAGGTACACTGCTTAAGACATGGACATTATTACAATGTTGATTTTTTTATTTATTTCTTACCCGTTCGGCCCTTCGGCCTTTCGGGAGTTATTAATTACAATACATACAATACATGAGGAACTTAACAGTGTCTTCCAGTTACACCAGAGCACAAGTATACTTACTTCAGCTTATTTTTCAATCTATATACAGTTTATGTTTATCTTCACAAAAATATACAAAAATATACCAAAAATATTCAAAACTATACAAAACATAAAAAAAATATACAAATATACCAAAATATGCATTGAGTAAATACCACGCTTGTGAATAACATATACAGTTATTGCAATCTTCTTTATGTACATTTTAATGCAGCTAAGTTTAATTCTCTTTGGATTTGTGCATTAGGAATAAACCAGGAGGCTTTGGTGACCAGTCTTAGACATTTGTTTTGCATTATTTCCAATTTCTTAATATGCGTATTTGCAGCGCCTCCCCACACTGAGCGCGCATAGGTGAGCGACTGGCGAATTATAGATTTAAAAATTGTTAATCCGTTTTCTATTCTTAATGCAGAGTTTTTAATTATTAATGAGTAAAGTTTAGCCATTTTTGCATAGGTTTTGTTAGCAATATCAATTATGTGGTTCTTCCATGTTAGTCTCCTAATTTGACTCCTAAGTATTTCACGGGTTGGTTATTGTTTAGCCAGAGAACAGGATTGTTACTAATTGTTAACATTGGAGGGGTTATGAATATTTTAAGCGAGAAAATTTTAGCTTGTGATTTGTTTGGGTTTATCTGGATTCTTCATTTATCAGTCCATTTAATTAAGTTATTTAAATCATTTTGTAGTTTTACCAGGGCAATAACCAGTTCTACATGTTGTGAGAGGATGGCAGTGTCATCTGCGTACAAGGCTATTTTGATATCCATTAATTCCGGAAAATCGGCAAGATAAATTTTAAATAAAGTCGGTGAGAGTGGGGAACCTTGTGGAACTCCAGCTGAGATTCTGTATTTATCCGACGTAGTATCGTGTATTTTAATATTAAATGATCTGTTTAGCAAGAAACTTTCAGTTATGCCGTGAAGATATTTAGGAATGCCTAGAAGGTGAAATTTGTATTTCAGTCCTGTGTGCCAGACACGGTCGAACGCTTTAAGAACATCTAAAAACAGAGCTGCCGTGAACTTTTTCTCGTGAAAACCCTTAGCAATCAAATATGTAACTCTTAAAATTTGGTGTTCAGTCGAGTGATTTGTTCTAAAGCCGAACTTGGCATCGGGTATGGAGTTCGTGGCGTATAAGAATTTATTTAACCGATCTAAAAATCAGTCTATCAAACACTTTAGCTAATGAAGGTAATAGGCTAATTGGCCTGTAGTTGTCTAGAAGCGCTACACGTAAAAAGGGACTTGTAGACTACATGTAGATTACGTGTAGATAACACGCGTAGACGTACAATTGTAGTTCATAGCACAAGAAGTTATCTATCGGGACGTGATGATCACTGTATAGAAACACTATCATTTGCACTCACGCGTCGGTACAGATTCGAGGTAGTGGCCACCGCAACGGCAGCCCCCTCCCTCAGGATGATGCATGAGGTGTATAGCGCAGTAGATGCTACCACGGAATCGAAAAGTTTCCTATCAGTCTGTCAGCTATCATTTTCCCCTGATATTTAGATTTTCCAGACTGAACCCAATGCCATGCTTCCTTTGGACATGACAATGTCAGCTGGATAATTGTACAACCCTGACCTTGTGAAGTGGATACCTAAATACGTGTACTCTTCGACCATTTCTATAATTTCTCCTCTATATTTCACCGGCCTCTCCGATCTCATTCTACCTGACTTTTTGAATTTCATTATTTTGTTGTTTTTTTTACATGAACTTCAAGGGATTTTTTCTGACAATACTTGGATAGCGTGTCTATACTGTGTTGAAGATCAATAACATCAGTTGCCAGGATAAACAAATCATCATCCAAAAGAATGTTAGCTTTTAACTCTATGTCAGTGAAACCTTCATCCACCAAGAAACTGGCACTGTCTCGAAGGAAAAGAGCAAATAGTGTAGGGTTCAACAAATCCCCTTGTAGTACGTCTTGTGATACTTCCATGGAATTGGTAATAGAATGAGCGTTGATTCTTAATTTTATTGATGCTCTTCCACAAAGATTCTGAAGAATCTTTATAATATTGCTGCACATCCCGGATTCATAGAGCGATTCCCATAGAATATCGTTGATCACGGAGTCGAAAGCTCTTCTCAAATCTATAAACGCTGTATACGGTTTTTCTAGCTCTAGTCCTATTTCGCCTTGTAACACAAGCTATCGTCACAAGACCTGCCCGGTCAGAAGCCTGATTGACATTCAGGCAAAACGTTGAAATTCTCTCTCCATATTATCAATCGATTCGCACT